AAAGTCCTCCAAGGTTTCGCAGGCTGCTCGGGATTGCCCACGGCTCGGATCCGACTTATCGAAGCCGGGGAGGACCGGGGCTGTTTCGGCGAACTTTCCTGACGATTCTTCAGGGTTTGTGGGGTGTAGGTGGTTCGCCTGTAAAAGGGCTTGCTACGGGTTTTGGCGCACGGGCCGACTTCCCTCGGCTCGAATTGGTTGCCACCCTCAGCGCACACAGCCCCAAAGTGTAAAGGATCTAGTTTTAAACCCATATATGCCATGCTCAGCCTGTGAGTGAGGACGGCAGCTTCGGCGAAGCGGGGCCATCCGATCGTTGCCGCTTTGGGGCCGAGACGTCGCTGCAGGCCTGGGGGCTTCGCACTGCCTGAAGGCCTAAACCAATCTGCCCGAATCCATCCGAATCCTGTGACCCTGAGGGGCATGTGTCACGCACCCCGAAGTTCCGCATCCGCAGTTGCCGCAGGTCCCAGCAAACTGCGGCCCCGGTGGGTTGACGAGCGGCGGGAGCCTCGCAGTGTCGGTGACGTCGGCGGAGTTGATGTCAAGCTGTCAAGCTTTGGGCCCGGGGCTTTGGTGGGGACTCGGTCGGTGTGAGGTAAACGTCCTGTTTGCATGAGGTGTCGCCCCCTTCAGCTGTCAGCTAAAGCCCGTGGTGGCCACGACGGCAGGCAGAAATGCCGGCGAACGGTTGAGGGATCTTGTGATGCGAGGCTTGGGACTCTGAGAGGTCAGGAAGGCAGACAGCCTGAATCACTTCTTGCTTTCTCTTCTGCTGCGACGAGGCTGGCGCTGGGCTTTGGAGCTCCGGCCTAGGCGCCGGGGTCGGGCGTCTTTGCCCACGGCGCTGGGCGTGTGCTTCTGCGTGCCCTGGCTTGCTATGTTAGGCTGGCGCCACGCAGCCGCCGTTAGCTCTATAGCGCCGCTTAAAAGTGCATGTGCCAAAGACACGAGGATGGCCTCGGCGAAAGCGGATGCAGCAGCGGTGCAAATTGGCTTCGCAGCTGGGCAGCATCGGGGATGTATTGTGACATCATATCGCATGCCAAAAACACTCAGGGAGTTCGTCCCATACACAAGCCTGCAGTATCCTGCAAAACACCAGTATCCTTCCCTGGCATCGGATGAAGATCCTCGAGCACTAACATGCAGCAAGCCGCTTGATTCTTGAGGCAGCCCTGACTAGTTCGTACGCAAAGACGCTGCTCTGCTTCGGTATCAAGAAGCGCGCTTACGAAAACTCGTACGCAAGTCTGGACAGTCTGGATCAACTCAACCATGAATTCGAAATCTTGCTCAAAAAAGCTCAGATTGTCACTTATACCAGAACGTGTCAGCACCGTACGGGTAGTTCTGTGACACGCTACCGGTTCACCCTTATAAGATTCCATGATAGCTTGTCCGCTTTGTTCGGCCGGGTTGCTTTTGTTCTGTCAGAGTGGCGATCGCGAGGTGTTTTCAATTCGAGTCGCTCAAGCTGTGTCATTCCCAGCCGACCTGCTTGCTGTTGTTAACCGTTCTTGGCATGTTGCCGTTCCCCGAGGTGTCGGTTCCCTTACGGCAGAGCCGCTGCTGTTGCTGCCCTTGCAGCGTCTTGCCGGAGAGGTCCAGGCCTGTTAGCAGACTTAGCACCCCCCCCCCCCCTTGAGGCTCCGAAACCTTCTGCTAATCATGTTAAGGCCACTATATCACACGTTCCTCACGTGCTTTGCATACCTGTGAGGGTGTATGCAGGGACCGCATCTACGGTCGGTTCTCCCATGGCTCGGAATCAGACGCATCCAGGACCTGCGGCTGGAAGCTCCTGGAGGCCGTCGGACATCACCAGGGAGGGAACTGGGAATTGAGGTGCTGCTTTTTTTCAAAAGGAAGCTTCCAAAGCTTCCGCGTGGTTCTCTTCTCCTCCTGATGTACCAGAAGCACTCTGCTATCAGCAGACTTATTATGATCTCTGCACCGATGTTTTCAGTGCTCCCCCCAGGTCGCTTTGATACAGCAGCGCAACACATCCTCAAACTCATTGCGGACGATGCCGGGACTCTGCAGGAGCGGAGCAAAGAACAGTCAATGTCATCAAAACAGTGAGTCAAAAAATGTGAGAGGTTCTCGAACCGGTTGGGTTCAGAGGACGTGTGGCAATCAACGTCGGCGTGACTCAGCCCCAATGAAACCATATGCTCGAACGATGCTGTACCGAAAGTAAAGCTGACTTCGACTCCTACACCCACAAGATCCTGCTAAAGTTCTGCATCCTAGAGTCCAGAGTATGCGTCAGGCCTGTCCCGAAAAATCCGCAAACCGGAAGAATCACCAAGAAAACTGTCCAGGAGTCCAGCTGCGCTTCTGCGCTGCCCGAGCCCGAGCGGGTGAGCCTCCGCTGCTCCGCGGAGGGCTGTCCTTCGGCGGACCAGGCGGGCTGCTTGTTTGTCACGTCGTGTAGAAGCCTGAACCAAAACGACAGATTTTGCTTGTAGGGTCCCTTATGGTAAGTAATGCTGTAATATACACCAATAATAATATATTCTCGTTATTCAAGCCCCTGCGTTAGGAACTTGATTGAAGGACAGGTTGTGTTCACCGTTTACTCGCAGGAACTTGAACTTGAATGATGTCGCCATGGGATCGCTGTGATGAGCCAACAGAAGCTTTCAAGTGAAATGGATGTTGAAGAGGGACCTGAGTCTGAGATTTTCGTCCAGATTCACTGTTACAAGTTGTCGGATGCTCGAGACGGCAGTATCAAGCCTCTGTAACTCGTCAGCTACGAGCACCTGGATCATAGGCATGTTCCTCGCCTGATTTCGTTTCCGGCCCAGGTGGCAGAGGAGGTGCTGACTTGGCAGCGCCTTGAGGTCTCGTTTCCAGGCCGAGGGGAACTTCCGGGTTTTTTCCGGCTTTTAGGGGTGTTCTGACCTGGTAGATCAGCTGCCCGACGGTGGTGCAGCTTGCGGCCCCAAGCCGCAGCAGCTTTTCTGTTTGTCTTCATGGGAAGTACGCTTGTCCAGACGTCTAAAGTCGGAGGAGCACATGCTTGCTTTTCCGCCGCAGGTTGGTATGCAGCTTGCTACTGCCAAGTGTCGAATGCAACGGCGGGTTGCGAGGCACCCGCATTCTTGCGCCATTTTCTGACCACAGAACATAGCTCAGGCTCTGGGCTTCGCGGTATGGGTTCAGGGGTTCATGCATGTTCATGGTTCTGGATCCTCTGACGCGGCCGAGCGTTTGTACCAGTCTAGGTCCATCTAGGTCCGCTTTGTCAGAGCCCTTGTCGCTTCCGTGTTTGCGAGGACCTTTTCAGGGCCCAAGCAAGATAGATTGGAGATTAGGGCATGAAGCCGTGCGCAAGGGCGGCTTGCGGCCATTGCGGCCAGAACGTTGGCCTCCTGGGTTTAACAGGACTAGGCATAACACTCCGGCGCCACGAGAAGCGCTGCCGCGCCAGACGTGCAGCGCCACCGCCACCACCACCACCACCACCCGCTGTCTGCGAGCTCCTGCCGCGGGTAGATGTGAGCAAGGACATCCAATGGATGTCAGCCCAAGAGATGGGCAACATGCTCACCATCACCGGAGCCGAGCTGAAGGCGCTGCTGGAGGAGGACGAGGAGACAAGGGAGCAGGTCACCAAAAGCGCGTTTGTGGCCTGGCGCCCCGGTGCCCATGAGGGTGCGCCCCTCCGGGTCGCCATGCTGGTGGGACCCGGGGACACCGCAGACACGGTCCAGGTGCCAGGGAGGGGCTAACAACACACAGCCGAAGCCCGCGAGGGAACATAATTAATTGATCACGGGTCTGTATGTTTCAATGGTCTCATCATGCCTCATCCGGGTTCCTGTAGAATTTTTTTTAGCATCGGATTGTTTGCTGCACACGTGTCCGGTTGTGTTGAAGCCGTGCGTTTCTTCAAAAGTACCCGAAGATTTTCCCGACGTATATACTTCCGGCCTGATCTGGCAAAACTACGCTAGAATGCTGTTCATGTCCTAGTCATCTCCCCAAGAATCTTGACGCTCGTCCGCACAGGTCAAGGCTGAATCCCCATATTTGGGACCGATCGACCAGATCGTGAGCCTGGAATGCCTCGAAGATGGCTTCCTCAAGCAGAAGAAATGGGGCCAATCCGTGGCAATGACGTCTTTTTTCGATTGCAAGGTGGCGACCGAGCGCTGCAGAATGTTGCAGAACTGTGCCCGTCGCCTAGCGGCACGTGGCGGCGGCTAAGTCGCTGAGCCACACATTCCCCACTTAATTGGCATACTTGGCAGTTGCCTTGCTGTTGTCTCTTCGTGCACCTAATTCTGCCCATCTCAATTTCATTGAACTCAATGAACCTGAGCTGCGCATTCGCCGAGATGGCAAAAAGATAACAGAGCCTGCAGGAAGTGCCATAGCCGTGAATCATAAACAGCTCGCCGTCCTACTTGTAGCCAAGATGCCACACCGAAACTGTGAACCCCATAGCCCCAAAAGAGCCCTTGAAGGACGGCTCCTGGCAGCTCTTAGGCTGGCAGCTGGCCGCAGGCGTGTCGACGCTGACGGCCGGAAGTGCCTTGGGATTTTCAGTTTACTTACGATGCTTCAGGTTAGTGGTTTAGGGTGTAGGGCTTCAGAGCTCTTCGGATTTAGTTGGACTCTTGGGGTTCATGCATGGTTCATGTTGATTGGGGCGGTTGTGGTTGTAGTCGTTGTTGCTGCTGTTGCGGTGGTGGTGCCGGTTCTCTCGCAGGGCATTTGGACTCGAGGTCATGTGCTCTGAGTTATGAGGGGTATACAGAAGACAGCGTAGTGCTGCCCTCAGCTATGTTAGCATGAAGCCATTTGTTTGTTATTATCTGTGTCTCAGCGTATACATCACCCAGGGAAACCGTTCTTGTTTTAGACAGTTGCTCGAGGCTGCGGAGTGATTTCAAGCCTCTGAACGCTCATCATAGCGCATCGTGAAACCCACAAGGTAGTGGCACGAGCTCCGTCGTGTACCGTGGTGGCCACTTCCTGCTGTCCCTGCGCGGAGCGGGTTTCGCCCCCGAGGCAGCCAATCTTGAGAATATAATGTCCAGTTAAAAGTTAAGCCAAGCAGTGTACGGGAAGTAGACTGTACGGGTGAGATAACGTGCATTTGATTACGGATGATTTTTCCTATTCCCATGTGCATTCCTATATGTGTTATGTGTTCTTTTGCATGAGATGTGGTAACGAAGGAGCCGAGCAGCCGAGTATCTCCGCTCGCGCATAGGATAGAGGGCACGCACGTGCAGGTTTCCTACTGTATGATGTACTTTGGTTTGGTGCGCCTCGATGGGCTTCGATCAGTCAGTTTTACGTCACGGAAGCTTTTTCTAGCCATCATGACTGGTAATTCGATGGGACACTATCCAGGTCTTGGTCTGAAAGTTGTCTGTGTTTATGTGGCATTTCTGTGACAAAATGCCTTTGTGTTTCCTTCCGAGCATTTTGCACAGTTCACGCGACGCAGCATTATTTTGCATTTATGTATCCTGTATTCAAAAGCTACTTGGGACTATTCTACCACGATGAGAGCACTACTTTAGCACTGGTTACGTGCAATTCCAGTACTATTTAGGACTCTTCTAAGACAAGAAGGCTTCCATATCATCAAATCTTAAAACGATCACGTGTATCAAGATATTCGTGTTTTTTCCTCAAAGAGTTTGGTAGCACTTCAATGTATTTTCAGTTGCTGTGAGCGCCCGGCATGCGTGGCTTGCGCTCACGAGTGTCCCGCGGCTATCCGTGGCTCATGCTGTGGCATATGGACAGTTCCTATAGGAGTTACATTTTTGACACATTTCCATAGCGACCGCGCCCTCTGGGCATGTCCTGCTCAGCGTAAATTCCAACACTTTGGCGCTGTCCAACTTGATGATCCTGCTCATGCTACAGTCCGTGCGCATGTTTGTCACAGGTGGCCCGAAGTCTCTCGAGGCCTAGAGTCCTCGGCCGAGCTAGGACTTTTCCTTTGATGTGGCATCGAACTCCTGCTATTCTACGGGGTGTGTAGGAGCTCTGCAAAAGATCGAAGCTCCCGGCTCCCGCCGCAGTGCCGTGCGTACGTTGGGATGTGCATGGCCTTCCCGCCAGAGTGCCAATCGTGCTCCCCCCCCCAACAGCGTGGTGCGCGTTTTGGACCTCTTAGGGTGATGTTGGGATCCTCAAAGGCCGTCCTGGCAGGGTTTTTGGGTATGCTGGGTTTCGGCTGTTAGGTTCTAGGTGTTTTTTCACTTTTCTTAGGGATCTTGGGCATCTAATTACGTAGGAAACCTTTTTGTCGGCTGTGCGCTTTACCAGGATCGGCTCCACATCCAAGCAGGTGAGGTTGCCTGTGTACCATGGGCAGACTACCAGGCATCTGGGTGGAATGGCGGTTGGCTAAATCTAGCTCCAAAGATGGGTGTGGTAGAGCTGACCTAGACCGCACAAAGTTGCAGCCATGACATATTATATACAGGATGTAAAGGACGGGTGCCAGTTCATGTACTGGTTGGAGTGTTAGAAGAGCGTCGGTAGTAGTTAGAAACGGCCCACACTATAGTAAGTTTGTCTGGTCGAGAAGTGCTGGAACATTGTGGGAACTCCGGGTGAAGTTCCTTCTTCAGAGGTTCGGGGCCTTAGGGGATGTGAGAGACTGACGATTTCGGCTTCACTGAAAAGTTCAGGACTTTGGGGAAGTCTGCATTCGCAGAGGATTTTCAGGCAGTGTGGTACCGAAGAGTTTGAATCCGCGCTCTTCTGTCGGATTCTGTGCCAAAAAATTTCCGAGTGTCGCCGGAGCTCCGACGCATCGAAGCAGAGGCGACTGCTGGCACCGCTCCGGTGGCTTTGGCCGCCGGAGCGTCTGAGGAACCGATTCTGCCAGGCTCGAAGGGAGGAGTGTCTGCAAGAAGAAGCGACTGGTATCCCTCGCATCTGAAGTAGATGAGATGCCTTTGTGGCAGGCTCGCTGGCGCCGGGAGAGCTGCGCAGCTTCAGCCGCGAGGATCGTCTAGGGGCAGGGCCACATTTTTTGCGACGAATATGTCTGCGACAGGCACTTACGTACAAACGTTCTTTGCTGCGTCCCCCAGTCTGCGCCTCTGCCTGCGTGTGCGTGTCTGCCTGTCTGTGTCTGTCTGTCCTCTGCCATGCCATGCATGCGCATATCGTTTGTACTGTATACATTTATGTATGTTGTAACGAAAAGTCAAATGCATGTAGGTTATCTGCACGTGGGCACACACCTTTGCTATGTTCCAAGATTGGGGCAGTTTGTTTTTGTTGGCAGACCGCGCAGCACAGCTAGTCTCAATGCACAAGCTTTGCCACACCTCGCCCCACATACTTTATGCCAAAGAAGTACATCATACTCTGCAACATCTCTCGCAAAGGCTCGACACAAGGATGCATTTGTTCTCTGTCCTGCGGCCCCAGTTTTCTATCCTTCCGGTGCAGCATCATGACCACGAATATGTAATTACCAACACATTTTTTTGGGGGTCCTTATTACATTGTATTTATATAGTTTAATATACCCCAAAAACATGTTCTAATTATTCCGACCCCTATATTCGGGGTCCTTATTATATGTATATTTTATACTTATTTAGTGTACTATACCCCAAAACCCTTTTCTAATTCTTCAGCCCCCTATTTAAGCCGGGTGCGCAGGGGATCCGTGGCCGGCTTTCCCTGACGAGAGCCCACGGCTCCTGGGATGCAGAGGGTGAAAAGCCTGCTTCCAGGCATCTTCCTTTGAGGTTCCTAGTAGGGAATGGGGGAATGGGTTATTGGGGCTACTTTTTGGGGGACCTTAAGGGACTATCATAGGGATCCATTCCCCCATTCCCTACTAAGAACCAGAGAGTCTTTGATGTTTCAGTGGAGTCCTTTTTTGAGTGGTGATTGCTGGGGGAAGCTCCAGGGAGAGAGCGTCGAGCCCATGGCTCATGTTTTTTGGGAAACTGGGGCTGGGTTGTTTCGGATGTCGGGTTCCGCAAGCCGCGCCAGCCAAAGTTGCAAGGGTTGTCGCAGGAGGGTAGCTTCGAGCAAGCATCCACATCAGGCCTTTCGAAGATACAGCAGGGATCGGATTACGTACCCAGAAGTTGGAAAGTGTTGGGTGGAGGTTTTGTTTTTTGTTTGCAGTTTTTCGGAAGGAGCCCTAATCCTTAGACCCAGTAAACGGCGTCCAACAAAAACAGGAAGAAACCAGATCTACTAATAGTAACAATAAGCACATAACATAATAAGCACTATTATTATTGTTATTATTATTATTACGTTTATTATTATTGTCATTATTATTGATACTATCTACTTTTCAGGCCTACAGGCCGGCGACACGCTCCGCTTCTCCGACCTCCTGGTGGTTGGCCCGGCCTGTGGCAGTGAGCCTCGCCGTGCATTAGGGGGGGGTCTTGGGGTTTAGTTTCGGGTTGAATTTGGGAATGGGGTTTTGGGACCTGGAGTCCTTGTTTCTTTTTGGTTTGTTTTTGGGGGTTAGGCTCGAATCTTAGCTAGCATCTGCTTGGTACCCTGTGCTGGTGGTTTTTAGGTTAGCCCGCAGAGTGCCTCCTTCTGGTAGTATCCGAAACAATTCCGCCTTGGTATCTTGAAGAATCTCCAGGAATGAGCAACGCAGCAACGATGATGTACAGGGGACCTTGAGCGGGGACCGCCTCCACTGGATAACATGCAACCGAAGACTCTTCCCTTACCCCGAAGATTTCGCCCGCCCGGGACAGCGGTTTAGTGCTCCCACCACGCGATTGCACGACTCACTGCCCTCTGCAAATAGTTATTTGGCCGCAATACAGGATGTCGCGGCTGCAACAAGAAAGTGCTCCTCCTTTCAAGCTTGGACTGGGCCGTACAGATCGTGGAAGCTGTCAAGTCTCCAAGCTCCAAGCAGTGAATTCTCTAAACTAGGTCCCTAAACCTTCAACCCGAAACGCAAACATGTTCTAAAGCTTTGCCTTCCTGAGCTTCCCCACTGCAATGCAGTGTGCTCCAACTCGTTCCTCCCAGATTGAGCCGCTACAATCCTTAAACCCTAAGCCCCTGAGGGTGCGTGTACATGTTAAACCGCTTTCTCGTTCCGCAGAAGTTCCAAATCGGAAACTTTAAGCGACACTCCACAAAGCATCGCAAATCCTTTGCAGTGTCCGTTCTGAAACCCCTGTAGATCCCTTACAGGAGCCCTACGCTCAAAATTTCATCCCTGCCCC